ACACACACACACACACACACACACACGTAGTATGTGTAATTATTTTAATTTTTAAATTTTTGACATAGACATTTTATGAATTATTCATTAGTATAATCCAACATAATGTACAGCATGAATATAAGATAATCTCTTATAAGATGATATCTCTAATCTTAGTTTAGTAATATTACAGTCAGAAACGACAATGCTATGTTGAGTAAAGTTGCAATTGTATTATAATATTTGTCTAGTGTATCAATTGTTATTACCAATTTTAATAATATTTATTAATAAAAATTAAAGAGGATAGTATTTTTCACATAAAAAATGTCTAATTGTCATCAGTTTATTTCTTATTTTCAAACATATCATATACGTGTAAATATATGTAAGTGTATTCAATTTTCATTTCCAGGTTACAATGCCATGGAGAAATTTCCACTAAAAGGTACAATATTATCGAACAATACAATTCCACAAAATCATCAGCATACGTTAACCACATACCAGTCAGTTGATACAAAGGTAAAATTAATAAATAGAGCATTTTAATAAAAAGGATAACAAATAATAAGAATAATAATGATAACAAAAATTTAAAGAACAAAAACTTGATTAATTATAGGTAGAAAACTCGGATGATGTATACTTTGTAGAGGATGCGCAATCACGAAATCGAAATACTCCACGTGATAGTAATTTAAGTAGTGACGACGACATGCTGGAAGTTAATAATATAAGTTCTCATCATGGACAGAACACCGTTCTTTCAGAACACATCCGTATCGATGATGCTTCCTCACATAGTAAGTAATGAATATGAGTAGTGATTTGTTAATGTACAATTTGTAAATATGAAACATAACATTATTTTGTATCTCTCTACTATTTTAGTTTCAGTTGACTCTGATGACATTCCTGGTATCGGACAGTATGATGACTTTCATACGATCGATTGGCAGCGGGATATCGCCCGAGATAGAATGCGTCATCGATATATCGTGAAGAAGAAACATGATTCTATTTGGGGTTTAATCAAGGGAGCCCACGATGCTTGGTCCGGATGGCTTTGCGTTTTATTAGTTGGTCTCTTTACAGGAGTTGCAGCAGGTATTATAGACATAGGGGCTTCCTGGATGACTGATTTAAAATTTGGGATATGCCCACAAGCATTTTGGTTAAATAAAGAGCAATGCTGTTGGAGTTACAATGAAACAACTTTTGACGGTGGTAACTGCTCTCAGGTATTTACTTTATTTTTTTTTTTCTTTTATTTTGTAACGTGTTGATTTGCACTTATCTATGATCTTTTTTTTTTTAGTGGTGGACGTGGCCAGAAGTATTTAGTCAATCAAAAGACGGTGCAGGTCCTTATATGATCTCGTATATGTTTTACATCGCTTGGGCTCTCTTATTTGCTTCACTTTCTGCCTCATTAGTAAGAATGTTTGCTCCATATGCTTGTGGTTCTGGAATTCCTGAGGTACATATGTAAAAAAAAAAAAAATAGAAACTGCGAAGAAGTTATTTTAAATTACATTTAAGAATAATTTTTTAGATAAAGACCATCCTAAGTGGATTTATTATTCGTGGATATTTAGGAAAGTGGACATTAATAATTAAATCAGTAGGTTTGATTCTATCCGTCTCAGCAGGTTTGAATTTAGGCAAGGAAGGACCGATGGTTCACATAGCTTGTTGCATAGGAAATATATTTTCTTATCTTTTTCCTAAATATGGTAGAAATGAAGCAAAGAAAAGAGAAATTTTATCAGCAGCAGCTGCTGCAGGAGTTTCAGTTGCTTTCGGCGCTCCAATTGGGGGAGTTCTTTTCAGTCTTGAAGAGGTAAAAGAATGATTGTTTGATATATTCAATGATTAAATATATTCAACAAAATTTTTCAGGTGAGCTATTATTTTCCTCTAAAAACCCTATGGAGATCGTTTTTCTGTGCCTTGATAGCTGCTTTTATTTTACGATCTATAAATCCATTTGGCAATGAGCATTCGGTGCTTTTCTACGTTGAATATAATAAACCTTGGATATTTTTTGAGCTGATACCCTTCGTTATGCTTGGAATAATTGGTGTAAGTTTATTTTTCTATAAATTTTTTCTATAATTAAGAATATTGCTTTAAATTCTGCTCTTTCCTTTCTCTTTCTTTTCATAGGGCGTGATTGCTACTTTGTTTATCAAAGCAAATTTGTTTTGGTGTCGTTATCGTAAAACTTCAAAATTAGGTCAATATCCAGTTACTGAAGTTTTAATCGTAACAGTTGCAACCGCTGTTATTGGATATCCAAATCCATATACACGGATGAGTACAAGTCAACTCATTTATTTGTTGTTTAGACAATGTGGCGTATCAAATGCAGACATTTTATGGTATGTAAAAAAATGTTTTCTTTTATTTTTGAAAGTTCATGTTAATTTCAAAAGTTATATAGTAAATATTTATTTTTTTTCTTTTTGTTCATATAGTGACTACAATAGAAACTTCACTGCTGTAAAATCAGCAATTGAAGTTGCAGCAGCTGGTCCCGGAGTCTATAAAGCGATATGGCTTCTCGTTCTAGCATTAATTCTAAAACTCGTTATGACGATATTTACATTCGGCATGAAAGTACCTTGCGGATTATTTATTCCATCACTTTGTTTGGGAGCAATAATGGGCCGTATTGTTGGAATTGGGATGGAGCAACTTGCATATAATTATCCACATATTTGGATATTTAGTGAAGCATGTTCAACTGGTGTTGATTGTATAACTCCTGGACTGTATGCAATGGTTGGTGCCGCAGCGGTTCTCGGTGGTGTTACCAGAATGACTGTTTCTCTGGTTGTAATAATGTTTGAGTTAACTGGAGGTGTACGGTACATCGTACCATTAATGGCAGCTGCTATGGCAAGTAAATGGGTCGGCGATGCTCTTGGAAAACAAGGCATTTACGATGCACACATCGGTTTGAACGGATATCCATTTCTTGATAGCAAAGACGAGTTTCAACATACTACTCTTGCAGCTGACGTCATGCAACCAAAGTAATTGCATCATCGTCATCATCATCATCATTATTATTATTATTGTTAAAACATATTTTTGGAAAATAATATTGACGTGCTGTTTTTTATAATTTCTCTTTATAATTATTAAATTTAACTTTCATTTTCAGACGCAATGAGGCCCTCCATGTCCTTACTCAAGATTCAATGACAGTTGAGGATGTTGAAAATTTACTAAAAGAAACAGAGCATAATGGTTTTCCAGTAATAGTTTCAAAAGAATCGCAATATCTCGTTGGTTTTGTATTACGAAGAGATCTAAATCTTGCAATTGCAAATGCCAAACGTATGACAGAAGAAATTACTGGACAATCATTAGTTCTATTTACAAATGGAAACAACATTCAAAGTCATTCTCCTCCGCCACTTAAATTGAAAAAAATTCTCGATATGGCTCCAATAACAATTACTGACCAAACACCTATGGAAACTGTTGTTGATATGTTCAGAAAATTGGGATTAAGACAAACCCTTGTTACACATAATGGGTAGTTATTTTTGTTATTATTTATTTGTAATGTTTTTAGTTAATACGATTATATTAACTTTTAACGACGTTCATTTTTGTAGTCGACTACTCGGAGTTATTACAAAGAAGGATGTATTGAGACACGTGAAGCAACTTGACAACGAAGATCCTAATTCTGTATTGTTTAATTAAAATTTATATAAAAAATATATATATGAGAGACACAGTGTTTTATAATGCATGGTATCAACCAAACAATTGGCTACATTACACCAACAGTATGGTTTTTGATATTCATATAACTGTTACGAGAAATTTTAATTATTAAGTGAAATTTGTTTTAATTAAAAGTGAAGAAATAAATAGGTAAAAAAGTTTCAACTCACTGCACTACGCGAGCTTTTATATATTTTATTTAAGCAAGTCTCAGTCCAACTTATATTTACCATGTGTTAAAAAAAATTTTCTTTTACAAGTAAAAGAGTAACACTAATAGTATTTAATATCTTTTAGAATTCTTTATATTTTTAAGTTATTCAAAGATTATATTCAAAGAGAGATTACATCTTACTTGATTATACAGTTTAAACAATATAGCATATAACACGTTATATGTATTATTAGATTTAAAAACATTAAAAATGTTCTCAATTTTTATAGTTGAAATAGTGAATTAAATGATAAGAGATGTATGACTATGTTACATATCTAGATAGAATGGCGCGTAATGCAACGAACTTTATTGCTAGCGATTTTTGAAGATAATTTGCATTTAAATATTAAGAGTAATATCAATTCTGGTTTTTTAAATATTCGTTATGCATACGTATGTACATATATGATTGTAATTAATTGTGATTTTTTAAAATTTTGCTTTATATATTTTAAATTAGAAAATTACAAGAATTAATCGAATTTTTATAAACAATGATCGAAAGAAAATAGATTATTTTAAAATTAATTCATGTTCAAAGCAATGTGTTTTTGCTGATACAAAGGACAAATTTCAGAAAATATGGTATCTTACATACCAAAAGATTATATTTATGATGTCGATTTCCAATATACATATGTATATATGCAAATATAGTACAATATGTACGCGA